CTCTATCCATTTACATACTTATCCACACTAGTGACCAGAGCAATCTAGCAAAGGTCACAAACTTAACATTTTCTTGTTGTACCAAAGTCCTCACTGATTTTGTGCATCAACATACAATATATAGTATCATAAATTAATCATTCAATGATTACGAGTGAAAACAAGAAAATGAAAGCAATCACCATGCTGTTGTCGGCTAAAATGGATCTGAACCTGTTTCAATCAGGGGAGTATAAAGTTGAAATGGTGAAGTCTGGTTATTACTGTTAGATAACTCCATAATTTGGTTCAAATGTTAAAAATTTTAAAATTAAAATACAGTTGAAACATTAAACCGGTAATAAGCTGTATATAAACTAAAATTTTAGTATTCCTTCATTGACGTCAAAGTCTTCTTGAGTTTTACATATATTTTTTCCATCGTTAATCGTCAACTTAGAATCCCGCTTCCACCCAAAAATCTTGGTATTTTGTTTTTTAGAATAACAAACTTAAGTCATCACAAAGAGTGAATAGGAATAGAAACCCTTTTTTGGGAAGATAGTAATTTATTGAAACCAGCAAAGAGAAATACAAGTAGGAGTCACACTACGACTCCCAATCCCGCAACGGGGAGGAACCTTATTAATGGCTTAAGATTATTAACCACATATATTAGAATTAATTCCAAAAGGTTTTTTTTTTTTTTTTTGAGTACATTGATATTTTTACACTAGAAGAAGAGAGAGTTTGGCTAACCCACGCAATGGGCGCAGTTTAATTTGTTATCGAATTCGTCATCCACGAGATTCGAACCTAAGACCTCTCACTTATAAATGAAGAGGAATATCATCAAATCGTTGGATGTAAATATTAACATTTTGTTCATACATACATTCAAATTTCACAACTGAGCAAGTGCAAATATATCAATAAATGAAAAACACAAATCATACAACATAAAAATTTCATTTATAATTGAAGAAGAAAAATCAAATGTAAAACACTTAACACCTCTCATTTTTTTTTGTTTATACAATTAATTTAAAGAATTGTTATTAGCACTATAAAATTGGGAACTTTAACGAAAAGCTTCCCGTACTGTTCACTTTAACGAAAAACCACATTTTTACACTAAAAAGTCAATCCTGATACTATTTACTTTACCCTTTATTTTATCCTTATCGTTAAAACTCAAAGTTTTCAAGTATTTTTCATTAGTTTTCTTTATAAAATTCTCATTTTGAACTCCAAAAATTTTATAATTAGAAAAAATAAGATTTTTGAAATTCTGATAACAGTTTTTTAATTTAAAAAATTAGTGGAGGGGAATATATTGAACTTGTCTAGAATTCCCTTAAAGTTGGCGGCAATTGCCAAGCTGTACTCCATTGACTTCTTCATCTCGCTCTTCACCGCATCCACAGCCGTCGATCCCATCTCCTCCAAACCATCCAGGCACGTCTCCTGATCCGTCACCGCGCTGCTTATCCACGTCTGTATGTCGTTGACTTTATCTCAGGTCAACGCCTTCTCTCCCGGGCCCACCCTCATCGCGGACGCCGAGTCGTTGACCCGGTTCTTCCCCCAGCTGAGAAACGCAGTCCTGGGTTGCCGCATCGGAGTTCACGGTCATCAACAGCGCCGAGAGGCGGGTGAGCTCTGGGTCGGGATTTGGAGAGCGGTTGGGGGCGGATATGGAGGTGAAGCACGAGGCGGGGTACCGAGTTACGTTGCAGACGGTTTTGATGGTAGACTTGGCCTAGTTGGAGAGAGATTGGGGTTGGGACTCGGCGGGTGACTGGGTAGTGGAGTGGTGGATGACGGCTGCGATTGCGAGGGTAATCACTAGTGTTATTCAATCTTCATCCTCTTCGTCTGCGTCTCCGCCAGCAGCCTTCTTAGCAGCCGCCTTCGTGTTCCTTCGCTTCACTCTGCCAGGGCGTCCGCCGCCTAACGAGCTTGTAAGCGAGAAATCGATGTGCTTCTCGGAGTCACATCTCACCAGGAATGAGGGAATGTTCACCACTTGCCTCCCAACTCTGTCCACAATAAAAGAACAAGGCATAGTGAGGATGAATGTTCACCTTGCAGCTCAAGCAACCGAAATAATGGTTGGTGTTTTATAATATGTAAACAATGTGATCCATTCAAACATCAAAGCATCTTCTCTACTAGCAGAAATCGAAATAAAACATGAAGTACAACAGATATCGAATCATCAAAATGATAGACTTTGTTAAAAGTACAGCACTAGTCCAAAGACAATGGATCCAGCCCATGCACATGCTATAAAATTCTAGCAAAGTTCAAGTTGGTGGAAGAGTTTAGAAGAATGGTGAGGATTCCACCAACATGCAAGATTAGTGTAGATAATTCTAGCTTAGGAAGGTAGTGGAATTATATAGATATCTCTAGCATGGTGTTTCCATGCTTCTCCAAGGTTCCAACCATGCCTATAAAAGGAGAAGGCATCCACACCATTTGTATCAACCAATCAAGAAAGAAGTAAGAATCAAGAAGAGAGTAAGCAAGCAAGAAGGCAACCAAGTGAGAGTGAGAAGAGTAGTCTTGTGAGGAGCGTGAGTGGTCTAGAGTGTGTCTCTAGAAAAAGTGAGTGTCATAGCTTTTAAAGTGTGTCTTTGAGAGTTTTGAGTGTTGTAATATTTTGTGTGTGTAATATAAGTAATTTGTTTACTTATGTTGTCTCTCCAACACTTGTGTTAGAGTTGTGTACTCTAATTTTTCCTCAACAATTGGTATTAGAGCGGTACAATCAGGGGACCATCTCTAGTGAAGCTTCCCAGAATCGTGAGAAGTTTAGTACTTCGCAAGATTGTTGACTAGTCTTGTTCTGCTTATCGAAGTTCTGTCGACACGATGGGAGATCTTCAAGTTGTTGGAGGAATCAAGAAGCTTAATAACAAAAATTACAACACATGGGCGACGTGCGTTGAGTCTTACCTACAAGGCCAAGATCTTTGGGATATTGTCGGCAGTAATGAAGTTACGTAGCCGGAAGAAGACACCAGCGGCACTTTGCGAAAGTGGAAGATCAAGGCAGGTAAGGCCATATTTGCCTTAAAAACTACAGTTGATGATGACATGTTGTAGCATATATGGAAGTCTAAGACACCGAAAGAAATGTGGGACACCTTCACCACACTCTTTTCAAAGAAGAACGATACATGACTGCAGCTTCTCGAGAATAAGCTATTATCAGTGGTCCAAAGGGACATGACGATTGCCCAGTATTTCCATCAGGTAAAGTCTATTTGCCGTGAAATTTCTAAGTTAGATCCTAGTGTTGCCATTGTAGAATCCAGGATAAAAAGAATAATTATCCATGGATTGAGACCCAAATATTAAGGCTTCGTTGCCGCCATCAATGATGCCTCTTCCTCACTGAAGATGACATCTCTACTAACACTAGTTTGCCAGTTAGTGGGTTGTAGAGCTTGTATGCCTTGGACTCTTCACTATAGCCCACAAACACACACTTTTCACCTCGATCATCAAGCTTCCTTCTCTTGGCTTCTGGAACTTGAGCATATGCAACACACCCAAAAACTCTTAGGTGTGCAACACTCGACTTGTATCCACTCCAAGCTTCTTGTGGTGTCATCCTTTTTGACACTCTTTGTTGGACATCGATTCAACAAATAAATCGAACAAGCTACAGCTTCTGCCCACAATTCTTTTGGCAAATTCTTCTCCTTAAGCATGGACCTTGTCATGTCAAGGATTGGTTCGATTCTTTCTTTCGGCTATCCCATTTTGCTGTGGGTGTATATGCAGCAGTCAGTTGATGCCTAATTCCTTGCTCCTTGCAGTATGCTTGGAAAGCATTGGAGGTGTACTCTCCACCTCTATCTGATCTCACAGCCACAAGCTTGTGGTTGCTTTCAGCCTCTGTGAGTGCCTTGAACTCCTTGAAGATTTTTAGGGCAGCCGACTTCTCTTTTGAGAAATAAAACCCAAGTCTTCCTACTGAAATCATCAATGAAAGTAATAAAATACCTATTACCTCCATAAGACATGGGATCCAATGGACCACATATATCCGTGTGTACCATCTGCAGTGGTGCCTTTGCTCTCCATGTATCACCAACAGGGAATGATAGTCGTGCTTGCTTGCCAAGCACACAACCTTCACATACTTGGCGTGTGGCTTCAATCTGGGGTAGACCACGAACCATTCCTCCACTTGACAGCAACTTTAGGCCATTGAAATGAAGATGGCCAAATCGAAGATGCCATTTCCATGACTCATCTTCCATTACACCGATGTTGCAACTCCCAATCTTTGTGTTCAACTTCAACGGGAACATTCGGTTCTTTGACATTTGAACACGTGCAATAAGTTTTCTCCTTGCATTCCTGAGAGTGAGAAACATATCCTCTATATGTATAATATACCTTTTCTGGAGCAGTTGACCAATGCTCAGAATGTTGCTCTTCATACCTGGTATGTAGTAGGTATCGGAGATGTATTCTTCTCTCTACCATCCTTCTGGATGATCTTGATCTTCCCTTTGCCTTCAACTGGCAAACTTTGAGGAGTCACCAAGACTTACAGATCCATAGGCCCCATCTTTGAGTTCGGCAAAAAACTCCTTCTTTCCACACATGTGATTGCTTGCACCAGAGTCCAAATACCAAACATCTTGTTGGCTACTGGAATCATGGTGTGCTAGCAAGACTGTAAGTTCCTCACCAGCATTTCCATTTGATTCTGCCATGTTGACATGCTCACCATTTTTATATGAACATTCATTTGCATAATGTCCATATTGCTTGCAAGTGTGACATTGGATATGCGCCTTTCCTCGGGTAGATCTCCATTCTTGAGATTGACCTCGGTTTTGTTCATAGCCTCGACCTCTTCCTCGGGCTCGTCCTCGGCTACGGTTGGATGAACTCCCACGACGTGAGTTCCCCTGCCCACGACCTTTATTTGGTTTGTCAATTTTCAATTTTGACTCCAAAGCTTGCTCTAGCATTGTGGGGCTTGCATTCTTCTAAATGCGTTGCTCGTGAACTAGGAGGGATCCTAGTAGCTCCTCTGCGCTCATCGCCTCCAAATTCTTGGATTCCTCAATGGCAGTCACCACATGCTCAAACTTAGATGTGAGTGACCGGAGTATCTTCTCCACAACTCGTACTTCATCGAGTCTCTCGCCATTTCTCCTCATTTGATTTACTATCACAATGAGCCTTGAGTGATAGTCGGAGATGCTCTCCCCTTCATTCATGTGAGCAGTTTCAAAATCTGCTCGAAGTGACTGTAACCTCACTTTCTTGACTCGATATACTCCTTTGTAGATTGTACTGAGTGTGTCCCATACTTGCTTGCTCGTTGTTGCTTCTGCAACCTTCTCGAACGTTGAATCTTCTAATCCTTGATAGAGAAGATATAACGCCTTCTGGTCCTTCTTTCGTAAATCCTTGAGAGTGTTCCTTTGATCTGCAGTATATGTGGCTTCTTGCTCGGTAGTGGGTACAACATACCCATTACTGACAACTTCCCATAGCTCTTGTGATCCAAACAATGCTTTGAATTGGATGCACCATCTTTCATAATTTTCTTTCTTCAATGTGGGAACTTGGAGCTGCACTAAGTTGGATGCCATAACTGCTGCACCTGCCAGAATGGTATTCTGGCTCTGATACCAATTGTTGGTATTGAGAAGTTTACTAACTCAACACCAAAATATGTGGGTGATAAGTTTACAAACTCTATCACACCTCTCACTTTCTCTCTCAATAAAATTGGACTAACAAACGGAGAAGGGATAGGAAATAACAAGCTTCCACGAAACACACTTTCTTGATATATGAAATAAAAGGCAGTTTACAAACTGATGAAGAAAAAAAAACAGAAGCTTACAAGCTTATGAACCTGAGAGAATACAATCAGAAAAATGGGATTTGGATGGGATGTTACTAAAGCCTTACGAGAGGCTTCCTTAAATACTACACAACCTACACCTTTACACCATCAATTGACAGCACACAGACAGCAGCATATCTGCTGTCTTTAACACATGGGAACGTGAAAAAAATCAAGAGACCAAATGTGCTCCAGGTTGTCTACATTCGGCTAGCACATGGCAGCACCATTCCAGGTTGTAGTCACAACCTTTCAGTTAGCACATGGATGAACTTTTAGCCTTTAAAGTTGCAGCATGTGTGGATACATCCTGTAAAGAAACTAACAGCCATTAGCAACCTTTTACAGCCTGTTTTGAGTTGAATTTCCAACATTCTTAAATTGAAAAACCAACAGAGTGATCATGTCCATGTATTCTTAAATTGAACATAAAGATTCACAGTTGTGTAAAATAAACATTGGTTGAAGAACTGTTCTGCCCACCCATATTATTTGGTTTGTTTTCAACACACCAAAACTCCATTGTTTAGGTTCGGAAAATATAATCCAAGTTCTTTGTAATTACAGTTACTTAGTTAGAAAATTATTAAAACCATGAAAAGGGAAATGATTTCTACACACTACACATCCCGATTTTTTTATTGTCATTGGACCGCACAAATCAAGGGAGAATCAAACGCTATAATTATGAGGGTCAAGTTGTGCAAAAATCACTCACTCCATAAAAATCGTTCAGATGCGTGGTTTTTTTTTTTTTTTTTTTTTTTTTTTTTTTTTTTTTTTTTGCGGGATCAAATACAGCTAATCGACCGAAGAAAACATCAGGTATATAGCCAAGCAACCACTACTAGTAGTGTGTGCCAGTCGATCAGTTGGTATCTGATCCTGCAGAATGGTATCCGGCTTCTAAACTACGGGGAGGTAGGATTTGAACTCGGGTATAAAGGAGGGGCGCTTCCGCTCTAGCCAATAGTCACAACGCCCACTTTCACTTGAATTGTTCTCAAAGACTAGGACCATATTTTACGCGGCTTAATTTGACAATGCCACCCCAAGAAAAAAATATCTGGATATTCAAGGTAATGTACAAATGTCCCATTCCTTGTTTTTATGTTAATGCACTGATTCATTCGGTGCCAGTCGAATTCAAGATATGTGTTTTATCTATTAATGTTGATATGATGGTCTTGTTGAGAGTGAATTTCACGATGGGAAAATAAGAGATTTTGCATATGTTTATAAGTAATTGGGTTACTCCCCATATTGGACAAAAAAAAATGATTTTAGGTGGAACCTCAACTTTCTTTATGTATCAGAGCAGTTTGTCTCGTGTGTGAAGCCTAACGGCCACATGTGAGAGGGCGTGTTGAGAGTGAATCCTACATCGGAAAATAAGTGACCTTGCATGTATTTGTAAGTAATTGTAGTACTTCCCATATTGCCAAGAACTTAAATGGAAAAGCGCGAGACCGGGAATGCTCTTTGAAAGGCAATGGGATAAAGCCACTGCCAATGAAGCAAGTGCTAATGCTAATGCTGCTGCCAATGCTATGGTCAATGACAAGAGAATGATTTGTGATTCTTTGAGTTCGAAAAAAGCATTACAAGAACAACTCAAAGTATCATACACAATTCTTACTGATCAAATAGAGTAGGTGAAAATTCAAACTCTGTTTCGTTTAACTTGCTGATTGAATTTCTTGACACACTATTGCAGGTAACTGGTGAAAAGATTGAAGGATTAACCAAATCATTATCGGGAGTGCGGCCAAAAGTTATGAAAGTTGAGAGAGAATTGAAGGCCATTGAAAGAGATATAAAATGCTTGAAGGAGTAATTACCATTGATGGATCATAGGAAAGATGAAGCATACCGATGCATTTCTTTGGGACTCAAAATTTTATTCCAGAAAAAATAAGATTTTTGAATAGCTGGGTTGATTAGTGGAAGGGAGCCCAAAGAGTCAAAAACCTTAAAGTTGCGGCAAAAGCAAGATCCATGTACTCCATTGAATTCTAGCTCGCAAGTTCACCGCAGTTGCCGTCGGTTCCCATCCCCCAAACCATTAGCCACGTAGCCTGGAATGTCCCGCGCTTTGTATCACGTCTGTATGCTTCCGTTGATTTTATCCTTTTAACGCCTTTCATCCGGCCCATTTGTATCAACCATTCAAGAAAGTTGACCCAAGTTCTTCCCCCAGCAAGTAGGAACCCTGGGTTTGCGAGTATCTTGTGGGATCAAAGTGGTATAGTGGTGTCTCTGAGTCGAGGTTTAGAACTAAAGTGGGGGCGGATTTTGAGTGAGCACGGAGGCGGGTGTGATACGTTGCAGACGGTTTTGATGGTACACTTGGCCTAGTTGGAGACTCTAATTTTTTTCCTCACAGGAGTGGTTCAACTCGATAACAAATACTTCCCAATTTTTCCCTTTCGTTCTGCAATCCGGCTTTCGACAAAGCCGGCCTTACAAACCCTTCGCTTCACTCTTGCCTAGGCAAACATGAAGTAACGAGCAATAAGCTTTCATCGATACCTCACATGAAAAGGAATATCAATAAAATGATACACCAAAATATCCCAACCCTGTCCCACGCATTTGAGAAGGCATATAATCACATTCACCTTCAATAGCAGCAACCAATGGTTGGTAATAAATATTAAACAATGCCCCCATTCAAACAAGCACGAGCCTTGGATGGACGCATGGACTTGAGGATATCGTCATGGCGGCGTTTCAAAAAAGTACGGCACTAGCCAGACAATGGTCCTTGGTTGCACATGCTAGCTTTCTACAAAGTTCTTGGTGGAATTAATAAATGGTGAGGTTCATCTCAAGAAGGGTGAAGCCTCTTGGCATTGGAATTATATAGACGGCTTGAGATGCTGAAAGGTTCCACAACTCTCTTGGACGCAAAGCCCGAAAAAGAATCCCACGAGCTTCAAGCTCAGCATCCCAATACCGTTCCTTCTTGTAGGGCGGCGGGGGCTTCTTAAGCGTAACTTGCATTTTAAAATTTTTCACCATTCATAAACGTTTTCAATTTTACCAATTACAAATTCCCAGAACCAACACTTCAACCACGCTGAAATGTACCTTTAAATTCGTTATATCCTAATCAAAAAAATTGTCATCGACAATGTAAAATTTTGAGACTCGATTGAAAATGTAAAGTTTACTCCTGTGGAAATGTAAATCCCACGTTAGGGAACAACAAATAGTTTCTCATGATCTTGATAAAATATATGTATCAGAGGAATATGTATATATATATATATTAATATAATATATGTGTTGTTGTGTGTGTGGTGTGTGTGTGTGTGTGTGTGTGTGTGTGTGTGGGGGGGATTAAACAATTCAGAGAAAGCGAGAGGGAATTACAGTCGTCCTATGTTGCTTCGTTGGAAATAAGAAACTAATATTTCTATAGCTCTGTCTATAAAAGAAAGAAGAAAGCTCAAAAACCTTAGGAGTTTTGGCAAACTGAGAAATCTCATTCCAGGGCCAAAGGACCAAAGCAAACCACGAAAGCCTGAACAACAAAAACAAACACAATACAAGACATTAAACTAATTTTCAAAGCTCTGTCTATAAAGAAAGAGAAAAAAACCTTAGTGAAGTTGGTGAAAATCCTTCCAGGCCAAGAGACCAAAGCAAACATCCGAAACCTACACAAAAACAAACACATACAAACCATTAACACAGTTGCGAAGGGTTACAACAAGGAGGACGCTGCAGCAAAGCGAAGACGTCGCCCTCTACACTGCAAAAGGTGAAACTAATGAGGACATGGTAATCCATCATTGTTCAAGACAAAAATTAACGAAGATGGGGGTCGATTGACCCAAACAACATTACACATCTCCAAATTACAAAACGACGCAAGAGAATCCACCGCCATATGGCCGATCTTGGACCTAGACAGCGACAGATTCTGGAAAGTTTCAACCCAAATCCCAAAGATTTGTCAAAGATAGGGAAAGCCTCCCAATTGCCATTCTGTGGTGTGATACAGATTCAACAACACCCATTTGTTTCGATCAGCAACATGAAGTACGAGCAAATAGAACCTTTCAGTAGAATTAATACCATTGCACATGAAATGTAAATCAATAAATGAGAACAAAGAAAAATATCAGGCCCTATGATTTACAGATTACCCAAAATGCCTACCTTTGAGGGAATGATAGGGACTGGTTAAAGATAAAATCACAACGGGACCTTCCAAATCGATGCCAATCAGTACGAAAAACACATAAGTTTGTACTCCATTATCTTTCTCGCCGATACCCCAAATTAGTAGTGAAAGAACAATGTAGCCAAAAAACCAGTAGAAATTTGCTCTCATGATGGATATTGTACTTAAAAGCCTTACCAAACCAAATTGAATTGACCCAAAGGGTAGAAAGAAAAAGATGCTCCAATAAATTTCCTCATGACAAAAATAGATTTGGGCATGTAAAGGGGATGAGGGAAGAAACGTTTTCCTAAATCCACACAAGCAGGTGCTAAAAGCATTGGTGGAAGAATTCCCAAGATATAAAGCTTATCCTTTGTTTCACATCAGGCAACGCATAATGGAGGAATTGGAAGCTAAACGAGACAACAATAGCTTGCAAGAGGACTTACACGATAACTGGAATTGGGGTTCGGAAGTTGATGCTGCTGCTGATGAAAAGACAGATTTAAAAGGCAGAATTCACGAGGTTGAGAAGCTGGCTGAAAAGATCAGTCAAGACAGAC